TCATCTCAATGATTGCAATCCCCTCCATGCAATAAGTTATCCCACTTCCTCCTTATGCTTCCTATTTCCAGTCCACTCACCTTCCCATCCCTTCTCAATTTTGTCCTTAGGTAAATACTGGTAGCATCTCATTTGTGACAGTCTTATTACATGGTAGAAAGCTGATACAGCAACTATTCTGGGTTATACTATAATCAGGTTCTCAAACCTCAGGTCCTTGATGGAAGTTCTCTAAAAATTGATGTAGTGTTAACCCCTTGCATTCATAATGGAGGGGTCAATATCATCTGGTCATTATGAATACATGTCAAAGGGATCAAGAGACTGGTAAGTAACAGTGTGAAGAAATGATGGTGTGAGGCCTACAGGTTAGGCCTTCCCTGATATCACTTCATACTTCCTCTCCACCCGATTTCTACCTGGATTTCTCTGAACCTATTTCCATTCTTAGTCAAGGACTGGTTTTGGTTGTCTTGGTCTTGGTATGAGACGGCATTTTTTGGCCTCCAAAGTTTCACTTCTGGAATGGAGAAGGGTGAAATGTTCAGTTTAGTTTTTATTCTTTCACCATCTTATTTAGAGTTGGTGAAGATTGTATGATACTTAATTTCTAACTTCTCTATCTTGATTTCATTGACACTATCAAAGCAAATTCACTAAATTTCTCCCTTTCAGGAGAAATATATGATGTTGAAATGTTTCTTAATTTGATTAAATGTATTGTTTCTCTTTTAAAGGCAGGCAAGCATAAGATAGTAATACCAAATATTCTCTCAATTTAAAATCACCTCACACCAACTATCATGGTGGGTTTGAGTCACCGACCTTGTGGTTTGTAGCCCAATGCGTAACGACAGTGTCACCAGGGTTCCTTAGATAGACGGATTATGTTGTTAAGTGCTGTCAAGCAAGCAGATTCTGACTCAGAGATCCTGTATAACATTTTCCAGGAGCAGCTGGGTTTGAACTGCCAACCCTGAAGTTAGTAGCCCAGTACTTCCTACAGTGCCATTCCAGGACCCTGATATGATTCTAGCCAACATTTAATGAGCAGTTACTGTGCTGGACACTATTCTAAATGATTTTCATCATCCTCCTAAGTCTAGGTGGTATAGACCATTACTAATGTTTAGGTAGCTTCCCCAAGGTCACTCAGCAATAAATAAGCTGCAGAGCGGACTTGATCCAGTGAGTTTGACTTTAAAATCCATACTCTTAGCCACTTGTTGAAACCAATTTTATTCACTTCAGAACTAGATGTAATTTAGAAAGGCCACCATTTCTATTCGGCAGTTCAGCCTCTTTCTTGGTTTTGGCTTCAATCTAACTCACATCTTTGAATTTCCTCAATTTTCCTCTCCAACCATAAACTGACACTTCACTCCAGCATCCAGTAGGATTTTGCGAACTTGGGGTAAACTTTGTTTCATTAAATCATGTAACATCAGGGTTATTGGTTTTGTTATAAAAATGTTAACATTTGGTGGTGGGGATTAAAAAGGATTCTTTATAGTTCTTAGGGTGGATTTGACACATTTAATTAATTTGCAAGTAGGCTGAATTTAATATATGCTTACATCCAGGGCTCGACTTGCAAAAGAAGCTGGACTGTCTGCACACTTTTCTGACCGAACATGGATGGAGTTATCTAACAGGTGTTAAGCGTGGGCAGCATGTAGTGGGCACCATCAGGTGTACCATGGGCATGGGAGTCTGCCAGACCTGTATTTCACCTTCAAGTTGTGTGACCGTGAGTTAGTTGTTTAACTTCTTTAAACCTTAGTGTCTCCATAAAAAGATATGGGTATTCCTATTCCCTGCTCAGAGTTATTGTAAAGATCCAATGACATCATGTCTGTGAAAGTTGCTGGCCTAGGAAGTACAGAGTAGGCATGCAATACATGGTAGTTTAATTTTATATCATTGCAAAGGAAGGGCAGGTAAAGGGCTTGTTATGAAATAAGAAGATGGAAACCATAAATTTGTGGTTTATAATTTTTCCTTCCCTTTAAGAACACTATTTACTGGATCTATATTTTCAGTTAAAATGGAGATTGCACAATCTTGTACAATATCAGTTTCTCCTGTCCAAACCTCAGCTTTTAGAAATCAATGCAGAATGCTCGCTGCTCTGTGGGTTACTGCTTAGGGCATATTTGTAATATAAATTCAAGAGAACAAACCCCAGATCAAAGTCGATAGAGAAATGTTGACGAAGAGATATAAATGTTAGACTCTACAGCCTATCAGAAAAGAAGTACTTACTAATGATTCAATAGTGAGTAACTGTTATCATGACCAATTGCAATTGTCACAACTGTAAAGGTAGAATTTCTGTAACATAAAGGGGGGAGTAGTTAATCTAACATTCCAGGAACAGAGGACCCTGGACCATTGAGAAGAGCATGAGCAGAATGCGGGACCCTAACCAGAGAAGCAGTGACACCAGAGATGGAGGCAGAGATGAGGACACGGAGAGAGGGAGCAGCTGAGGACTCTAGACTCATGGAGGGAGAAGGGCTGTGTGCTGGTGGCCAGGAAGGAGGCCTGCAGAATGTGTCCTTGGATTGTTTAAATGATTATATATTCGTGACTGTTTTTGTGTACATTAAAAAACAAAACAAAAAAGCAGAGGGAACAGAAACAAATACTGTTGAATGATGATGCATAGAAAGGATTGTAATCATTGTAATGAAGCCAAATACGATAGGATGAGTACAAAACCGATGTTCTCCCATGTAAACTATCACTCAATTCACAATAAAAGCCTTAAAAAATAAAAATAAAAAAATCATTTATTAAGATGAGGGATAGTCTTCAGAATAAATTAAATCAAGTAAATCAGAAATTTGACACACTAAAGAAAATTTTTGAAGAAATCACAATTTCCTCTGTCTGAAATTACCCGTAAGAGTCCTGGTGTGGTGCTATATGATAATGCACTCAAGGTCGGAGGTTCAAACCCACCAGTCATTTCTCGGAAACCCTAAACAGGGTCACTATGAGTCAGAACCAACTTGATGGCACTTAACAACAACAAAATTACCCATAATTGCATTTCTAGCATTATATCTAATTTTTTTTTTTTAGTTAAAAAAAAAAAAAAGAATGTAGGATTGCCATTGCTTTGTTCAATATTTCTTTTGGGGTAATAACACAGTAAATCTTATTAAAAAAAAAAAGAAAGGAAAATATACTAATAGGATGAGCAAAGATGTCAGCTTGAGGATTAAGGTACGCCTGCCCCAAGCCATGGTATTTTCAATAACCTCACATGCATGCGAAGCTGGGCAGTGAATAAGGAAGATCATGGAAGAATTGATGCTTTTGAGTTACGGTGTTGGAGGAGAATATTGAAAGTGCCATGGGCTGACAAAAGAACCAACAGATCTCTGTTGGAAGAAGTGCAGCCAGAGCGCTCCTTGGAGGCCAGAATGGCCAAACTTCGTCTCTTCATACTTCAGACATATTGTTAGTTGCTGGAGAAGGATATCATGTTTGGTAAGGTTGAGGGGTCAGAGAAAAAGAGGAAGATCCCCAGCGAGCTGAATTGGCAAAGTGGCAGCATCAATGGGCTCAAGCATGGCAACACATTTGAGGTTGGCCCACGGCTGGGCAGTTCTGCTGTACATAGGGTCACTATGAGCTGGTACCAACTTGATGGCTGCTAACAATGACAACAAGGAGCGGCTGGTGGGTTTGAACTGCTGATCTTGTTCATAGTCCGGTGCTGATCCTACAGTACCACACCATTTAATTCAAATGTAATTATATATTTATTTTGAAAACAAAACACTCCCTTTATCAGTACCAAAATTTGTACTCATCCTGTGCTATGTCTCCACTTGTATAGATAGTTTGTCTACTAAAAATTTTGGGGGGCATTAGAAAGATCTTGAATAGGGTTCTCAAAGTATCCTTGCTCCAAAGACATCCCAGAGACAAAAATCAATCAGTCACAGACAGAGCAAACTCTTAAGCAGTTTATTCATTTCCTGAGCGAACCCACTTTCTTCTTCAAACATTTCCTTGTCTTCACCAATGCAGTTTTTTTAAAAATTAGCATAGGTATCTTCTTGAAAATCATACTTCTTTCTGAGCCTCAAAATTAGGATCTAAACAAATTCCAATTGTCATTCTAATGTCACTGAAGAAACATAAATTAAAACCTCAAGTTAAATGTCACTTTGGTATTCAAGAAGGCTTTCTGCAATACTGGTTGATGCTTTGGCAAATGACTGCTAATCATCATGAGCTAGATTCATGCCTTGAGAATACATATACTACCAGGGAGTGAAAATCTAAACACAAAAATTACTCACAGCTCCTGAATATTCCATGTGGAAAACGCTGGCATCTTCTGTGATACAGAAATCAATCCTTTAAACCTTGCAAACATTAATGGTTTGGAAGTTTCTTCACACACATAATACAGCCTTGAAGATAAAACTGAAAGTCTTGTTGTTAAGTGCTGTGGAGTTAGTTCCAACTCTTAACGACTTTGTATAGGGTTTCTGAGGAGCAGCTGGTGAGTTTGAACTGCCAACCTAGCAGCTAACAGTTCAGGACCACACCAGGACTCTGAAAGTCTTAAAATTATTAAAGTCATATATTTTATTAGCAATGTATCTTCCCAAGGGTCTTATCTTGACTATAATCAAAGCTGATGGAAAAAGTTGAATGAAATTTGAATATTGTGATTTTCTGTGCTGTTAAATTAAACTTAAGTAATATAATCAGTCTCTGCCTAAATATAAACATAATAAGATTTATTTACTTACTGGTAATGACTGATAACACAAAACAGACAAACAATAAAGTCTCTTAAAATGTTTATTTTTGTCAGAATAGCTGACGATTTTCTCTACTTATTTGGTTCACTTTCATAACAAGCATTTCCTCCCTTGAAAAATCCATTTAAAATATCTTAATTCTTGAGGTAAAGAACCTAAACTAAAAAAAAAAAAAAAAAAAAAAAAACCTGATTTGTTTGTTTGTTTTTTTTTTTTTAAGAAAAAAATTCTTAAAATTTCTTAAACTTGATAAATAGAAATAATCTCTTCTCGTCTACTCTGATGAACATAAATGTACTTTATACAGCAAAGTATCCAGCCCCTTATTGGCAAACCGGAGGAGGCAAGTTATTCATTTACATTTCTATTCAAACACACTGCAATACTGCCATGTTCATATAGACATTTTTCTTTTTCTTTTTTTTACAGTTACCAACACTCTTCTGGCAAAGACACAATTTTGGAATGGCAAAGGCAACAGAAGTTTTAGCTCTCAAAGCTCTGGAAGGGAATTAATCTGAGTCTTCATCATCAAGATAATCCTCAGCATTGCTCAATGTTCGAACTGCATCTGAAAAGAATAGGGTGTGAAAAAAAGCAAGAAACAAATTACAAAAACTGCTTGGGTTCTTTTTGTTCCACTTTCAAAACTCTTGATAATTCAACAAATTAAATCTTCCCTCTGGCCTAAGGATTACTCTTTCCCTGAGACCTTTTCCACTTTGGCCTTTAGCCTGCTCAATTTCTGCTGCCACAGTCATTAACAAACACAACTGTTTGCATGTTCGTTAAACATGCAGAAAAGTAAAGAATGTGGTCCCATGACTCTATTTCCAACAGGAAGTGACCACATGCACCATGACCACCGTGTAACACACCAGAAGCCACTCCACTATGACCACTGCGCTCGTAACCTCCTGGACACCAGTAACAAGTGCACTCGTGGCTTCCGCGGGTCCACAGCCTGCCGTCTTAACTGAAGGCAAGGTCACTGGGTAGAAAGGGAACTAAAAAAGGTAAAGAGGAAAAGAAAGAGAGTGAAAACAAAGAAGCTTCAGTTTCATTTTAGAAAACACTTTTAGATAAAAGATAGACTCAGAAGCAAAAGATTGAAATAAAAAGAAAAACAAAATCAAATGGAAATAAGAGAACCCTGTCAAATGTTAAAATCAATTTTGCACAGGACTTTAAAAGGAAGACAATGTCTCTTTAATGGTTTACTTAACTGTCTAGTTGAACTCCCACAGCAAAAAGTTAGCATGGGATTGCTGTTGCTGCTAGTCGCTATTCAACTAATAGCGACTCTATATAGGGCTTCTGAGGCTTTAAATCTTTTGCAGGAGCAGAAAGTCTCACCTTTCTCCCACAGAGCAGTTGGTGAGATCAAACTGCTGACCTTGTGGTTCCCAGTCCAGTACTGTCCTACGGATCTCCTGCATTCCCCAGGCATGTGGTTGTTGTTGTTAAGTGCCATCTAGTTGGTTCTGACTCATAGTGGCCCTGTAGGGTATCTGAGGAGCGACTGGTGAGTTTGCACTGCCAACCATACCAGGGCTCCAGGCATATGGTCAGAGATCAACATCTGAATGTTATAGCATTTAAATCACTGGACTGTTAACCAAAAGATTGGAAACCCTATACAGGGTCATTATGAGTTGTAACTAACTCAATGGCACTTAACAAAAACAACACGTATTATATTCTTATGGTTCACTGGAGCTCTGATTCCAGGTCTGGGGTATAAACTATGTAAATGTAAAAAATGAGATGTAAAATATGGGTGTGCCATGCTGTAAAGCAAGAATCCCACAAATGATTACTAGGATCATGTTAAAAGAGTTCAGGATTCAACCTAAAGTGGTCTCCAAAGATGGGCTGTATCAATAAGAATATTAACAGAATGGATTGCGACACATCATATATTTCAATACACACCAAAAAGAACTTGTTGGTTCCATCTGGAGAGTGATGGGGAACAAGCTCATTCTTGACTGAAAACTTTTAAATAAACAGAAAAACTATTATTCTGGGTAACTAAACAACTGCTCGGGGGATGTTTTTCTTTATACAATGTTATCCAACTAATGACTATGAAAGGAGTGATAGAATTAGATAATCTCCATTTTGCAATGATTCGTGAAATTATGGGTCAAGACAATGGTCATGAATGGGTTCTAACATCAAGAGTGACAGCCAGATATTAAATGCTTAATGGAAGAACACAATATTCTATATGATGAAGTCTTCCCTCAACCCCTAGTATGTAGACAGAACCTAAATCTGATCAACATTCCACATCTAACACCAAATGACAGAAAACACGTAAGACAGAGGAATATGATGAACAACAGCAGGAAATGCAGTCAGCAGACTGGGAAATTACACATCAATTGACCCTGTTTCTCTAGTAAGTAAATGGCAAGGGTAAAAAAATATAGAAGAGGGAGAGGAAACACTGAATTTTAAAACAAAACAAAAAAACATTAAAGAGACATTATTAACTAGTCACAAACTGTTCCTATCTGGCCCGATTTAAACAAACTATAGTGGTTATGAATCGGGCTGCAAACTGCAAGGTCAGCAGTTCGAAACTACCAGCTGTTCCGTGGAAGAAAGGTGAGGCTTTCTGCTCCCGTAAGGATTTACAGCCTCGGAAACCCTGTACAGGATCACTATGAGTCGGACCCGACTCCATGGCACATTACAACAACAACAACAACAACATAGATAAATAGGAGTCCTGGTTTGGCGCTGTGGGTTAATGTGCTAGACTGCAAAGTCAGTTTGAACTGCAAGGTTGGTGGTTCAAGCTCACCAGTCGCTCCTTGGAAACCCTCTAGAGGGTCGCTATGGGTCGGAACCGACTTGACGGCATTTAACAACAATACAGATAAATAAAGAAGCCCTAGTGAGGCAATGGTGTGATTTGAACCCACTTGTGGCTTGGGGAGAAGACCAGACAGTCTGCTCCCATAAAGGTTGTTGTTGTTAAGTGATGAGAGCTTGGGAAACCCCTTAGGGCAATTCTACTCTGGCACATAGGGAGTGGCTCTATGAGCTGGAATCAACTCAAGGGCAGATAACAATAATAATAGATAAAAAACAAAAACATATGAGACTATTGGGAACCGTGGACGATGATAAGACAGATGGTGCTATTAAGGAATTCATGTTAATTTTTAGGTATGTTATTAACATTTATATTAACATATAAAATGTGGCTGTGGCACTGTAGGATAGTACTCGACTGCAAGCTTGGTTTGAACCACAGGTCTGCAGTTCAAACTCACCAGCTGCTCCTTGGAAACCCTATACATGGTCACTGAGTCAGAACCAACTCAATGGCAGTTAACAACAACAAAAATGATATTGTGGAGTCCTGGTGTGGCACCATAGATACGTACTCGACTTCAAGTACTGTTTGAACCACAAGGTCAGTAGTTCAAACTCACCAGCCACTCTTCAGAAACCCTATACAGGGTTGCTATGAGTCAGAACTGACTAGACGGCACTTAACAACATCAATGAGATTGTAGTTTTTTGTTTTGTTTTGTTTTTCCCTAAGAGCCTTTATTGATACAAGATTTTAAATGCAATTATTACAAAAGGAGAGGAGAAAGGAGGGCCAATACAAGCGAGGTAGAAATTAATTTATCTTGCAAAAGAAAGAGAAACAAAAAGAAAATAAGTGACTGTCAAGCAGAACAGAAACAAATTTCAAGAGAGACTGTGACTTGGTGACAGGGCGGTTTTTCAAGCTAAAATCAAATACACAAATAATAAAGTATTTTGCCCTCCTACTCTCCTATCACAATCCTGTGGTTTGCTCATTTGAAATATCCTTTTTCCTTCGCTGGCTACTTCTGCTGTTGACTTTCATTGTATTGTTTTGTTAAATGAAATATATGACTTGCTATGCTGTAAACTTTGAATGAAAACCAAGAGACAGGAATGAGCTGGTCCGATAAATTCCTTCTCATTCCTTCTTCTGAAGCAGTTCCTCTGGAAATATTCCATCTGGCCAGCTGCTGAGTAGCCAACAATATCTTTTTGTAGCATGTCTTGGGGCAGTGGCCAGCAAGCTAACTCACCTCCTTGGAGCCATTCCTATCCTCCCAAACCTCACTTCTGGCTTCCTTATCCCATTGCCCTGGGTGTACCTCTTCGAAATAAAGCACCAGCACTTAAGCAAACAATCAACAAACCACAAGTAAATAAATGGTAGAGGGATAAATGTAATAACAAGGATGAATTTCACAGACAACAGGTTAAGTGAAGAGAGTTAAAAACAAAACAGTGTACAATACATGATCCCATGTATACGAGGTTCAAAACAAGCAAAAGTAAACTATGGTGATAAGAGTTGGATGATACTGAGGGAGGCTTTGGGCTCTGGGAATGTTCTCTATCTTGATCCGGGCTGTAGTATGTAGGTGTTGTTGTTGTTAAGTGCCATCGAGTCAGTTCTGACTCACAGCAGCCCTGTATAGGGTTTCCAAGGAATGGTTGGTGGGTTTGCAGTTAGCAGTCCAGTGCTTTTTGACAGCACCACACCGCACAGTTAAATATTCACTGAGCTGAGTACTTAAGATTTGTGTACTTCATTTAATGTGAATTATACTAATTTTCTTTCATTAGAAAAAAAAGTTAAGTGTTCTCCTCACAAAAATAGCTCTAGCACCTCCTTCCCAACATCCCAAAGTTACCTGTTCTTGGCAACTGCAACATGTGAATTATTTTTTAACTAGAAATCCAAGATGTTGCTTTTTAAGATGGATAGCTGGCAATAAGCTATATGGCGAAATGGACCAACCTCAATCAAGTGAGGATCGAATTATAGATTCAAACTTTATTAACTACATTATTGGGGTCATGAAGCCAGAGGAAACACAAGGAAAGGTTATAAAGCACCTACGGATAATGTATTTCTTGGCTTTGCTGGGGTATGAATCAGAATGAACTGGGTACAATGATCTCATTAAATGACTTGGTTTTCTAGTTAGTACAAGGTTAGACAGTTGGACTAAAGACACTTGGAGTGAAAAGAGTCCTACCCCAGAAAGGCTGCACAAAGGTGGAGGAAAAGGGAGAAAGGTTTACTGCTGTTTCATCCAGCTCCAGCTGGTTATGTGGAGGATTCTGGGAGTAAGCGCTGCTCTGTTGGGGTCTGAGGAGCTCTGGTATTTTCCTTGCTTTCATGACCAAACTCATAGTTCATATGAGACCCTGACAATCTTCACGTCACACAAAAGCCAGGGCATTCTCAACTACAGGAAGTCAGTGGCAGAGAGAGGAAGTTAGGCCACACTTCTACTTCCTGACTTAACAAAGAATTGAAGGCCGACCTCAAGCAATAGCTACGAACTTGGTTTCAGTCAAAATCTAGCTGGGGAGTAACAACTTAACTGAAAAAGACTTTCTCAATTAGAAGACTGACCCTGTACAAAAATTCTACCTCTTTAAATCAAACTTTAAAGTCACTTGAATGAGTTTAAGAAAGCATTTGTCCTGCCTTTCAACATTCATGGTTAAAAGAATTAAGGAATCCTAAACCGATGGCTAGTTTATCTAAACTGAAGTTGAAAAGAAAAGAAAATCTGGGGGTGACGGGGGATGGGGGCGGTGGTTGGGTACATTTGGGATAAAGTGGCAAAAGGGACCATGGAGTTCTGAGAACTGTGATGGGAATTTGATGTGAGGTGAGGTAGATGATTCTGGTAAGTTCCATCAGAGAGAAAGACTGTTTACTCATTTTGAACTTTAGACTATAGCACCCAATGAGTTCTGCTGTAGCACTGTAGGATAGCTAACCACACAAGGTCAGTGGTTCAAATCCACTTCTTGGAAACCCTATACAGGACTCACTATAAAACAACAACAACAAATATTTTCAAGGAGCGGCTGGTGAGTTTGAATTCAAACCGACCTTGTGTGGTTTTATTATCCAATTATATGCATTATCCCATAGTGCCACACTCCATGCAAATAGATAGGAACTGAATCAACAGCACTTAACAACAACAACAACAACAACAACAAAAAGTCAACCAGGGAACTAATTTTATTTTGTTGCTTCTGCTAGGAATCAAAGATCGACTGCATACCATTATTTATTCTAATTAAAAAAATAATGAAAGATACATGGGGAAAAATAAGTTTTCTGTTGGTTCAAAAGTTAGTGAAAATGAAGCAGGATGACAAAATAATCAGGGTCCCATTATACAATTTCAAGAACTATGAAATCAATAATACCCCTCAATTAGAAATGGAAATAAATGAACGTAGTCCCTAAAATGGAAATTTGTTTTATTAAAAGTTGTTTTGGTGATTCTTTCCCAACATGGGTCAGTTTAAATGCTAGACTCTAAAGGCAGTCCTATAAAGCAATACAAAAGACTTGTCAAAAGTTACGTCCTTCATTATACTTCTTTCTAGAAAATGGTTTTTTTAAAAAGTATCAATTATCGGTTTATACTTCAGAGTCATGTTAATAGTGACAAACATTAAGTAATAAAGCAGAGAAGGCTTAAGACGTGAGAAGAAGGGGGCTGAACATCCCCTGCTACCACTCCTTGTTATACTCCAGGAAGCTGATGATGGATGGGAAAGGGAAGAGGATGAAAGAAACAAAAAAGCTGAGCTCAAGATCTCTTTCAGCAATCACCATGTTAGAATGAATCTATCAGGAACATATGTAATAGGTCATATACTGAAGAGGTTCTAGCTTGACTCAAATATCAAATTAATACAATCATGAATGATGCAACTGTGTTTAACATCTTTCCTTTCAAAACAACTGCACAGTAGGACCTTATCCAGAGAAGCAGTAACACCAGAGATGGAGGCAGAGATGATGGCATGGAGAGGTAGAGTAGCTGAAGACTCTAGACTCATGGAATGAGCAGGCTCACAGAATGTGCTCTTGGGCTATTTAAATGATTATTTATTTATTCCTGGGTGTTTTGTGTACATCAGAACAAACAAAAAGCAGAGACAGACACAATTACTGTTGAAAGATGATGCATGAAAGGGATTGTAATCATTGCAATGAAACAAAATACAATAGGATGAGTGCAAAACTGATAGTCTCCCAAGTAAATTATCACTCAATTCACAATAAAAGCTTTAAAGAAAAACCCAACTGCACAAACGTTCCACATTTTCAAATGTATTCTTCCTTACCAGTAGATGTTTTTGTCTTTTAAGAATGTACATCTAGATGGAATCAGTCAGAGAAGGATATTGATAGTGACCAATTTCACTGAATTACAGATGTAAAAATTGTTGAATTGGCAAATGTATTGTACATTATTTCCCACAGATTGAGGTGGGTAGAGGGGTCGGAGGAGAGACATGAGGCATGCAAACCTAAACTTTGTTTTCTAAAAATCATCATGGTACCATGAACATATTCTAAAATGTTTTATGCAAAGTTAATAATAATTTTGATGACAGTTTGTTGACACCCTTATTTTAAATAAAAACAAATTATAGTCGTGGTGATGCTGAATACTTCACTTAAATATAATTACAAAGGATCCCTTATGATATTAATCTAAAGCAAGGAAATGGATACTATGGTTCTCTGACAAGAACTGTACTGGAAATAAAGGTAATTAGAGCTTCATTGCAAGGCTCAAAAAAGATATACAAAAATTAGATAATGTCCATGTCTCTCTTCAAATTGCTTCTCTTTTGGAGATTCCAGTTTAGACCAAGGATATAAAATCAAACTTTAAAGTCACCTGAAGAGTTGATTAAGACTCTCCCCCCAATATATCTTCATTATAAAGATACCACCGGAAAAAGGAAGACAAACTCTAAATACCTGTTCCTTGTTTCTTTTTAAGGAGCGATGCACAGGCAGCATTAGTAGCCATGTCCAGAGCCAGCTTCTTCTCATTGTTTAGTAAGTCTGTTCGAGCACCTTTCCGAACACAAGAAAAGTAAGTTAGGTGTTTCTGAAGAGTCTATAGGCAGTCCTGGTGTGGCACTGTGGGTTAATGTGCTGGACTGCAAAGTCGGTTTGAACCTCAAGGTCTGCAGTTCAAGCTCGCCAGTAACTCCTCAGAAACCTTATACAGGGTTGCTGTGGGTTGGACTGACTCGGTGGTACTTAACAACAACAACAATAATCTATCTGTCAGTCAATCTCTTTCCACCAAAAATAATGACTTTTTGGCAAAACAGAACAATTTTGGCTTAGACATAAACTTAATATAATATTTTATAAGTCTATAATTATTATATTGGATAAAAATAAATTTATATCTGTCATTTTTAATTAGGTAGCTAGCTGCCACACATGTAGTAATTATGCTCAAAACATAGCATTTCCCTTAAAATTCCTGTGGAATTATGTGAATTCTTTAGGGAGGAGTTTACCAATCCTCCTGGCAAATCCTGTATCATCACACCCCTATGGTTGCATATGTCTCAGCACGAGTGTTTCGAGACTAAATGCCATATGACCTTTGATTCTGCTCAACAGGATCTTTAGAAAAGTTCATGAGAATTGAGTTGGAGGGGCTTTATATATACAAGCATGCTCTAGCGAAAATTTGTTACTTCTGATAAATGCCATTTCGTCAGTTCTGATTCATAACGACCCTAAGTAGGGTTTCTGAGGAGCAGCTGGTGAGTTTGAACCATCAACTTTGCAGTGCTTATTCTACTGTACCAAAACAGGACTCCCTAGTGCAAAGTAGCAGAATCAAAAAGTAATTAAACTCAGAGGCATTCATTGCTCATGTAGTCCATCTCCCACCCACATCTTTACTATGCAAAACTTTGCATAAAGAATCAATGCATGCCTCCTCATTGTTAAAAACTCAAAAACACACAAGTATGCAGAACAAAAAGTTTCAGTCCCATTTCATTCCTAACGGTCCTTCTTCCACTTTCCACCCTCTCCAAGAGTCCCATGCTCATCAAGTGGCTGTGATATCTTGTCTCCCTAACGTGCCTCACTGCATCCACAGACACATACAAGGGGCCTTCAAAACAGTCATGGAAAAATGCCACTATCTTTTCATTCCATTTTCCCACATACTTTTTGAATTCCCCTCATATGTTACATATACATGAAATCATACTACATGTATTCTGTTATTCAATTTAAAAACAAACAAACTTAACAATGTATGGTGGTGGTGGTGGTTGTGTGCCACTGAGTCAGTTCTAACTCATAGAGACCCTGTATGGGATCTCCGAGACTGTGACATTTTACAGGAGCAGAAGGCCTCATCTTTCTCCAGTGGAACAAGTAGCCAATTCAAACTGCTGACACTGCAGTTAGCAGCCCAGCTCGTAATCCACTATACTGCCAGGGCCCCTGTTACAATATCTACTGGTACTCCTCTCTCATCAGTCAATGCCTTATAACTCAATCTTTTAAAGCAAGTATTCTATTTTGTGGATGTTCCTAAATGTATGTCATCATCCTTGTATTGATTCAATAGAGGGTGGTGTCAACAGGTAAGCATTCAACTACTAGCTGAAAGGTTGATTGTTTTGAACCTACCTAGAGATGCCTCAGGATACAGGCCTTGACATCTGTTCCTGTCAGGTCAAAGCCTTGAAAACCCGATGAAGTACAATCCTACTCTAGGTTAGAACCAACTCAATCAAAGCTAACAACAACAATGTTAAGAGGAGCAGTCAACCTCATCTTTCTCCCACAAAGTGGGACTAAAAACAACACTGAAAGGCATTTAGGCTGTTTTCAGGAGTCCTGGTGTGGTGCTGTAGGATAAGCACTCGACCATAAAGTTGGTTTGAACCGCAAGGTCGGCAGTTCAAACTCACCAGCTGCTTCCTGGAAACCCTATACAGGGTCACTGAGTCGGAACCAACTCAGTGGCATATAACAACAACAGGTTGTTTCCAAATTTCGTTATCACAAACAAAATTGCAACGAGCATCCTTCAAAACCATCTTTCTTTTCTCACTTGTATTTCTGAAATAGAGTTTCCTAGAAATGAAGTTAAATGTAAGAATATTCATTTTTAATTCACCCAGTTACTCTCAGATTACTTTCAAAAAAGGCTTCACCAATCACATTTTCTGCCACAGTGCATGAAATCCCGAGGTGGCACTAAAGGATACACACTGGACTGCTAACTGCAAGGTTGGCGGTTCAAACCCACCAGCCACTCCTCGGAAACCATATTCAGGGTCGTTATAAGTTGGAACCAACTTGACAGCCACAGTATCTGAAAGTGCTATTTTCTTTATAACCGCCCCCTACTTAGTAAACAAAAAGTTAATGGTCCCAAAACTTCAGGTGCAAAGATATTAGGAAAAATAGGATCTGAAAACAGTATACTACACAGCATGTGAAATGCACTATGGTATATAATTGTTGTTGCTAAATGCGATCGAGTCATTTCTGCTCTGGTAGCGTAGTGGTTACGAATCGGGCTGCGAACCTTAAGGTCAGCGGTTCGAAACTACCAGCCTCTCCGCGGGAGAAAGATGAGGCTTTCTATTCCCATGAAGATTTACACCCTCGGAAACCCTGTACAGGGTCGCTATGGGTTGGAACCAACTCGACGGCACTTAACAACAACAACAACAAATGCGATCGAGTCATTTCTGACTCATAGTGACCCTTAGCAGGATTTCCAAGGCTATAAATCTTCAGAGGAGCAGAAAGCTTCATCTTCCATGGAGTGACTGGTAGGTTTGAACCACTGGCCTTGTAGTCTACAGTTCGGTGTTTATCCTATAGAGCTACCACACTCCAGTATATGAATAATATAGTAAACACATTTTGATATTTGTTGTTGTTGTTACGTTCCACCAAGTTGGTTCTGACTCACAGCGACCCTGTATAGTGTTTTCAAGGAAGCAGTTGGTAAGTTTGAACTGCCGGCTTTTTGGTTCAAATCGACCTTGTGGCCCAGTGCTTTATCCCACAGCGCCACACCAGGTCTCCATATTTTGACGTGTTGTTGTTGGTAAGTGCAGTGGACTCGGTTCTGACTCATAGCAACCATACATAGATTTCCCAAGGAACGGCTAGTGAATTTGAACCGCCAACTTTGCAGTTCAAACTAACAGTACAGTTGAGTATTTATCCTACAGCGCCACACCAGGACTCCATATTATTATTTACTATACTAGGAGCTCTGGTAGCGTAGTGGTTACGAATCGCAAGGTCAGCAGTTCGAAAATACCACCTGCTCCGTGGGAGAAAGATGAGGCTTTCTGCTCCTGTAAAGATTTATAGCCTCAGAAACCCTGTTCAGGGTTGCTATGAGTCAGAACCAACTCGACAGCACTTTACAACAACAACAAATACTAGTTTCATACCAGTATGCTCCTGGGCAGAGTCAAATCTACCCCCAGCTAGGGATATTATGTAAAATTTCATTCTCTCATGTTACATGTCATAGATATCAAAGGGTTAATGCTTCTGTGACTATTCACATCTTACACTGAGTTCTCTTTACATGGTTTCTGTCAGAACAGGAAATGAACAGACACAGTTAACGCTAGACAACACAGCCATTCCTCTGTCCCTCTAACTGGCATTACCCAACAACGACACCCACAAATGTGAACTCTGTATTTGTTGTTAAATGTTGTCTAGTCATAGCAACCCTGTGTAGGATTTCCGAGGCTTTAAATCTTAACTTTAAACAGAACTCTAAATTTTCTAGTAGGCATATTTGCAAAACATGAATTTCAGTAATACATCTCATTTAACTCAGTATACTCAACATGCTATCACTTCAATATGTAATCAGTATAAAATGTATTGAGATATTTTAGGTTTTTTCCCATTCAATTGTTGCATGTATCAATTCAAATGAGCCTCATTTCAAGGGCTCAGTCGCCGATGTGGTTAACGGCTGCCAAATCAGTTCAGTTCTATACATACCCTTTTGGGAAGCTCAGTGGTGGTCCTCATGAAATGGAACTTACATCATCAACATATTTTTAAAAGTCAAAGACATTTTTCTCTCATGTGTCCCATGACATTTCTCAGAGGATCTCTGACGTACGTAGAATGTATCTTGGGGTTCAAAGTTTTTCTGGATCAGCATGTGGTATGGGGTCTGGTGCTTTCTGTAATATGCCTGGCCTAGTGTGGCACTATAAGGAACTCTGGTACTGAAGTGATTACGAGTCAGGATGCTAACCTCAAGGTCAGCAGTTTGAAACCACCAGCTGTTCCAGGGGAGAAAGAGGATGCCTTCTGCTCCCGTAAAGATTTACAGCCTCGGAAACCCTATGCAGGGTCGCTATGAGTCAGAACCAACTCCACGGCACACCACCACCACCAGTATGGCTCTGTGGGTTAATGCGCTGGACTGCAAGGTCAGTTTGAACCACAAGGTTGGTAGCTCATAACAGGATTGCTATGAGTCAGAACTGACTCGATGGTACTTAATAACAACAAGTGTAATGGATAATTAATACTTGTGGGGAAAATGGATAGATGGATGGGCAGTACATAATTTCAATTTCCCATCTGCCTTAGTGCAAAATAGAATTTAGGTATTCTTGTTCCTTCTCTCTACATCTAATAATTCAACTCAAAGGAGGACATTTCAGCTACAACAGTCTTTTCAATCTACCAAGACTTCCTGTGAGCACAGAATTCTCAGCAAGTTTACCCACACAGCTCTGTCTCCCAAACACACACACAGACACACCCAAGCACATAACTTCCTTCTAAAGCCCTTTAATTCTGTAGAAATGTACAATAAGTCCTTACTAATATATGAAATTTTACAGCTTACCAAGGTTTACTTTATTACTAAAAACTTACACAAATCAACTCCAAGAATCGCAACTTACACAATATAACAATTGTTACATTAACAGAGGAGTCCTGATGTGGCATTGTGGGATAAACACTGGACTTCTGACAGCAGGTCAGAAGTTCAAACCTATCAGCTGCTCCTCAGAAATCCACACAGGGTCACTATGAGTCAAAACCAACTTGACGTCATTTAACAACAACCACAACATATTGACAGTTGTTGTTACGTGCCATCAAGTTGGTTCCGACTCATAGCGTCCCTGTTTAGGATATCTGAGGAGCAGCTGGTGGATTTGAACCACTGACCTTGTGGCTCACAGTCCAGTGTTGATCCTATAGCACCACACAATATATTGAAAAAAATGGAGGCTAAAATCTCAGTTTAGAGATAAGGAAGCTATAATTCATCCTACTGTTTCAAACGCTATAATTTAATGTGGTTTATTTTAAGTTAGGCAAGGCTAGCTAAGCTCAACACAAATTTTACCTTTTGCCAGAAGCAACTGGACAATATCTGCATAACCCTTCCAAGCAGCAGCGTGCAGAGCTGTGTCCCCCAACTTGTTCTACAGTGATAAAAAGAGAAAGCAACCTTTTAAAAATAGAGAATGGGGTGGAAAAAAAAAAAAAAAAAAACATTGATGTAGTTTTAACTTAATTAAACCTAAAATGTGAACACAAATGGATAAAACCATATGAAATTCCAAGGAGAATAAGAAAGTAGATTCAAGTAGCAAGAGTCACTGTTGGAAGATGGACTGAAACTCAGAAGGAACCGACTCTGCAAAGACAAGCTGAAATGGAGATGCCTGCAGAGGAAGACACCAAGAGGAAGCAAACCAATTCACCCCCACAGAAACCTAGCAAGATTCCAATATTCAAGAGTCTTGGTAACATTCCTGGCAGGAACGAGATGTGAGTGTGTAACCAGAGGTACTGATTGAAACCTACAGGAAATCCTGGAACCCTGAGTTTCACAGGATAGGCAATGAGGTGGATTGAGGGTTGACTGGAAGAGGAAGTTGAACAGAAGCAGTGAGAGAGAAGAAAAACTGGAAGGCTGCCAGCTGGTATGGGGCAGCACTGCCATCTTGAGCTTTCACAAGCAGCATCAATCCAGCAGCCTGCATGCACAGGACACAGCTGGAGACTGGAGGGTGTCCAGTCCCTGCCGTCATTGACCCAGCCAGCCAGTGGTAACCCCTTCCTGTGCAGATTCAGCTCTGCCTGGGATTGGGCACCAGGACTGCCACCCCATGCTTCTGGAGGGGTGTGAACCCATCCTGAACTATACCACATGAACAGAAAACTGGGTTCACACTTCCAGTCTCTATCACATCCATCAGGAAACAGATGGTGAGTACTTGAGAGCACATCAGTATACAACCATCAATTAAATATAAACACACCACCACCACAATGTCTCAGTGAAAACAATTTCAGCTTGCATGAAGAAACAACACAGAGTATCTCACACAAATGACTAAAATACAGAGTCTGAAAGTATAACACCATAAATGGTATCAGAAGTACTTGATAAGGGATTTAAAAGAATGATATTTAGGTACCTTCAAGGGATTGAGAAAAAGATGGAGGAAAGCAAGGAGAATACAGAAAAAAAACTTTAGAAGAATTCAGAAAAACACTATTAAGAACAAACTGACAAAATCAATGAAAAAATAGAAACTATACTAAAACAATTAGAAAGGCAAAGAGGAATAACAAGACTTCAGAAATAGTATATTGAAAGACCAAAGAAATAGAATTGGATCAGTGTAAGGCTGGGTTACTGAGTTTGAAGATTAACATAAAAACATCACCTAGAACTCAACCCAGATTTAGAAATTTTCAAAGTAAAACAAACTGAAAATAGGGAACCAAACATACCAGTTTACAACAACAAACTTCATAAAGCAAAAAGAAGCAATAATGTAATTACAAAACCTTCAAATGAAGAAGAAATCAAGTAGATTTCAATGAAAAAATTAAATAAATAAAAATACACCTAAATGTAATCTTAAAACTCGAGCAAGCCTCACTCCTAGTCTAGTTCAACTCCTACCTCTACCCCTAACTCTAGTTTTAACCATATCCTAACACTAAACAAATTTGTAAGCCTAGCCAAACGTAGTCACAGTCCTAATCTTAACTCCTTAGTCTTACTCCCACCACCCCAAAAAAACTTTGAGGTAAATGAATATTGCTTAAAGTCATTAAGCTTGTGGCAATTTGCTATAGAGAAGAAGAGAGGTGTTGTGAAATAAAAAGCCAAGATAAAACATAAAGGTGAGAAAAACTAAGGAAGTTGAAGGTTCAATCCAAGAGGTCCAACATCATACTAACTGGTATTCTAGAAACAATGAATAAACAAAAAGTCAAATAAAAACTATAAAAGAAATAACGCAAGATTAAGTTTCCAGACTGGAAGAACTCACCATAATTACTGGGGGAAAACTCACGGTAATGCACACTACTGTGAAATTTTAAGAGCACCAAGGACAAAGTGAAAATTCTTAAAGAGAGAAAAAGCAGATTACACACAAAAGAATGAAGGAAAAAAAGGCATTAAACCTCTCAAAAGCAACTCTGAAAACTAGAACAAAATGGAGCCATGCTTTAAAATTTCTAAGAGCAATGACTTTGAGCCTTGAATTATGAACAGCTAAGTAAATCAATTCCAAGCTTCCTTTTCTTGGAAATTTACTTGAAGATGTGCTCTCAAAAAAAAAAAAAAAAACCAACAACCCACTGTCACTGAGTCAATTCCAACTCATAGTCACCCTACAGGACAGAGTAGAACTGCTCCTTAGGGTTCCTGAGACTTCAATCTTTACGGGAGCAGACAGCTTCATCTTTCTCCCTCAAAGCAGCTGGTGGATTTGAACATCAGAACTTCTGGTTGGCAGCTTAACACTGGTTAGCCACTCACTGCACCACCAGGGTTCCTTGTGCTCTTAAAAGAAGGGAATAAATCAAAACGGAGACAGAGGATCTAGAAACAGAGGAACTTTAACACAAGAGGTAGAATTAGAGTGCAACTTGTGTATATTAGAAAGTGAGGGTGAAGGATCCCAGCAAATATGACTCTAGTGGGTGAAAGGAAAGAAAGCAATCAATTTATCCATTTGGTAAAAGTATATTATGGAGTAAAACAAAGGAAGGGAAAGGGGGATTTTTTGCTTAAGGGGAAGAGAATTTGTGTTAAATCGTGAAAAGATTTTTTTAAATGGCTGCACAACTTGATGGCTATAATGTAATCAATGTCATTGAATGATACATGTGGAAATTGCTGAGACTGTGTCTGTTTTATTATGTGTATGTTCACCACAATAAAATATGCATATTTTTAAGAGTGTAAGGAGATACAGAATAAAAGCAAACTAAAGTCAGTAATTAAGTGCTGTAGTTATATGTTGTCAAGTCGTTTCCAACTCACAGCAATCCTGTATAGGATTTTCCAAGAGCAACTGCTGGGTTAAAACCTTGTGATTACCAGTTCGGTGCTTATCCTACATAAAAATAGTTCTTTAAGGAAGGAACACGATAGATTATTTGTTTTAGCAGTGACCAACAGTTAAATGGTCACAATTATGTAAATATTATACAGTAGTACACTTCCAAAACATCGATATAACCACATGTAAAGACCAACAGAAAGGCTGGGCATTGGGATGGTGAAGATAAGAGTTGGAGTCAATTGGGGCAGCTGATGAGCTAAAACTTTCACCTACCAAATAAGAAGTTAAGTTGTGTCTCACACTGATAATCTACGAGACAGCTCCAGAAACATATTCTTGAGTAAAACAGAGCTACGTAATAAATACAAGAAGTAACTAAAAGCTAAAAGTGGGATGTGAAGAGTAGTGAGACAGGCATTCTAAGCTTTATACAATTTGAATTTTAATACAATAGGTAATTTTGAAAGCATGTGCTTTCAGTATTTTGATTCAAACTTTTACAAAAAATAATAAACGAGAAAAGGTCAGTTTCAAACACCAAAAGGGAATCTTGAATGCCCATAAGTTGCAGTGTATTAAGAGGACACGTCTCGTATGGTAAATGCTGGCAGGGTTGGTAGTCTTACCTGCTGGTTCAGTTCAATATTTGGCTGAGTAAATAACACTTCCACTATATCTGAAATTCAAACAGAAAAGATTTTTTTTTTTTTTTTTTTTTTAAAGAAAGACCCTGACAAAATTAGGCATAACGGTTTCAACGAGTGGAAGCTTAGATGTCAGTCACCAAGGTAAGATTATTACACAAATTTCAAGATTTATGTAAACAGAAAACACCTAAAGTTCTAAAAAGTAGAATTATTTAGAGAAAGGTTCTTTTTTTTTTTTCATAGTTCTTGGTTTCTGCATTGCCACATCATACCTTTTATATAAATATTTCCATATTCACTCTGATATTTGGGATTCATATAACTAACTTGTGTTATATTCACAAAATAAAATGGGCTTTTTTACAGATGTACTCATAAATTTTCTTTGGCTATGCTACTTAATTTGTTGGGCTCTTGGATTTTCATCGTTAATAAGTTTAATTTCTGTGTGTTATAGGTAGAGGTAAGAAGTAGTCGATTTTTGGCCAAGTTGAAACACATTTATTTAGAAACTCAATTTGTCATTAGTATTGATTATAATAAAGCATCAATTGGATCAATAATTTAAACATATAGAAAAAACCACCTTCTTTCTGAATTTAATAGTTTGTCTTAGCTTAAAATATAAATCATAATACCAGATCTTCTAAAAAGCTAAAGCAGAAGTGCCCATCCTGACACTTTCTTCTGAAAGATTAAACAGGAGTTGTGTTTGTATATTGCAGCTGTTTTCCTAAAACTTTTCTAAGCCTGTGAAAGGAAAAAAATTTGCAATCCTGAAAGCGGGAGAGGTCCATGATGTGAGGCTGGCTGGCTACATTTATGCCCACTGTTCTAAAGCGCTACCAAGAACAAAGCTTCTAAAAAAACTTGAAAGAATAACCAAGGTCCTTTTCATTTTGCAAAGAGGCACATTTCAGCAGCACAGACATTTATAATAAAAAAAATAAAACAAAATACCTTTATGACCCCCATGGCAAGCCCAGTATAAGGCAGTGCTTCCAGCTTTGTCTAAGCCATTAACACCAACTCGGTTGTCCAAGCACTCTCTCAGCCAGCTCAAGTTGCCTGAAAGAATTTTACATTTATAAAAAGGCAAGATAGAAGTTTTTATTTTTGTTTTGCTTTTAAATCAACTTCACCCAACACAAATCTCCATCTGGAATGGATTAATCAGCAAGTTTTAAATTAAGTCTTGCCTGCTAGCACATTCATTATGGTGTATTTTGAATTGCAGTTTATTAATGGAAACCATTAACATCAATTTTTAACGGTAGATTAATGGGAAGAGTCGCTTAAATAGCTGTACTTCAAGCATTTCTAATCTTTAAAAAAAAAAATTTTTTTTTTAAACTCTTTTGCTTTTTTGTGAAATCCTGGAATCTAGCAAAAAAAAAAAACTCAATCCCAAACTGGCAGACACAACTCATATTCATATTTAAAATGCATTTCAGTTTTTACAAGAAAAGAAACACTAAATAACCCACCCAAAACTGCTGCTCTTAAATGCTAAGGTGTAACTATGAATTTAAAATCCTCAAGCGAATATGCAAGTATCTAGTTCTTAAGAATTGTTTTGTAATTATCAGTTTAGTAGTTCTGCATATGCCATAGTCTAAACCAGTCATTTCCTTTTGAACATTCAGATTTCCAAAAGATCTAAAACAGAATGAAACAGAGCTCACCAAGACTTATAACTCCCCATTATCTACAGTGGGGTTTCTAAACTACTGACATTTGAGGTCAGATAATTCTTTGTTGTTGGGGGCTGTCCAATGCACTGTAAGATGTTTAGTATGCCATCCCTGGCCTCTACCCAAAATATGCCAGTAGCATTCCCCAGTCATGACCTTCCAAATGTCTCCAGATATTGCCAAATATCCCCAGGGTTTGGAGGGTAGTAATGACCTCCAAATGGGAGCCACTGATCTATAAGACAAAGCCCAAGGCTCAGGCCCAGGCCCAGCATCATTTACTTATTTAAACACTCCAGGCTCTTCCCTGTTGTTCACTACATCCCCACTGTGACAGTTAAGGTGTTGTGTCCATTTGACTGGGTCACGATTCTCAGTGGATTGGCATTTGAGATGTTGTTATCCCCATAATAAGATCTAATACAATGTAATGAACTCTATGATGAGTTCGGCTATGAGCAGCTAATCAACTGAAATGATGTTTTCTGCGGGGGGTATGGCCTCCTTCCAATATATTATACAGTCAGGCAAAGTTTACTTGTTTTCTGCTGGGTCTGGTTCCTGCATCTGGCTCGTCCTCTAAACTCTCCTTCTCTGGACTGGAACCAGTAACCTGATGTATTGCCTGCCTGACTGCCAGATCTGCCGGTCTTGGTTCATCTGACCCAAACTTGGGCCTCTCTCATCTCTACAACTCTTTGATATAAGCTTCTCTTTATATGTAAGTTTCACTGGTTTTGCTTCTCTAGAGGACCCAGCCTGAGACACAATACTCTTTCTTTCCCACATACACACACAATACCAGTACTCTCCTAAGTGCTATCCCCCAGGAGACTGCACCCTCCTGCCTGCCAGTTAATCACGCTGGCCTCCAGAGTTTGTTTAATTAGACATACTTCAATTGCTGGGCCTATCAAACCATATTGTAATGGTCTATATACACATCTCTCTCCCCTGCTAGACCTTGAGCTCAGGGAGTTATAGTCTACGTCTTTTCACATTCCTCTTCCCTCTACAAGTAGAACTCCATAGTCTAAAGTGTTTGTTGACTGACATATTAAAATTAAAATCACACTTTCCTCTCCATAATAGAAGTCAGAACAGAGCTTGCTTCTGGGAGAGGCAAGAACTGATTGGTAAGAGGCTCAAGGGAAATTTTGAGGGTGACATAAATGTTCTAGATCTTTGTTTAGGTGTTGATTGCATGGGCATACATAGTTGTCAAAACATTAAACTATACACTTAAAAGATGTGTATTTAAAATGCCTCAACACCTACCTCTTTTTGCAGCTTCATGCAATGGATTGTCAATAGATTCTGCCTGCTCAGCCACTAGAATGAGAAGAACAGTATACAGCAAAGTTGAGAGTGTCAATCAAATGATTCCACTGAAGCCCATCACTTGCTGGACACTGACAGGGTCAACAACATTGTAACTTCACAGATGTTGTTTGTTGAAAAAAATGTATAGCACAGATCAAACACATATTCCTGCTTTTTAAAAAAAGGTGAATTATATGCTGCATGGCACAAGCCAAGCAATAAGGCAATACCTCAACAATTCATTGGACAAAAACATAAAAGAAAGCATTTGGTGTTCATTTTTACATTCTGTAAAAACACACTACTTTGAAGATACCGGAAAATAACTATTTTCCTATGTGTGTGCATTGGGTGGGAGTTGGGGGAGAGGGTTGTCTATTTCTTGTATTTGTAGAAAGGATAACCAGCATCCTTCTAAGGAAGGTCCATTCATTGCTGTCCAGAGACTGCTCTTCAAATGACACGTCCAGTCCACTCCCTCCCCACCATTAAGGAGACAATTCCTTGAATACAGGGAAAGGCAGGAGTAGTTAGAAATGCCTTGGTAGCACAGTGGTTAAAGTGCTATGCCTTTAACCAAAAGGTCAGTAGTTAAAACCCACTAGGTTTTGCTGGAGAAAAATGCAGCAATCTGTGTAGTAAAAATTTACAACCTTAGAAACCCTATGGGACAGTTCTATTCTGTCCTATGTGCCTCTCTGTGTTGGAATCAACTGGGTGGCAGTCGGTTTGGGTTTGGGGTTTGAGTGGTGGCTCAGTGGGAGAACTTGTGAAGGAGACATCCCCCTTCCCCTGCAATGCGTAACTCATGCTCAGCTACCACCTGTCGGTCCCTAGAGGCTTGCATGTTGCTATGATACCAAACAGGTTTTAGTGGAGCTTCCAGATTAAGGAGGACTATGAAGAAAAGTCTCGCAATCTACTGCCAAATGCCAGCCAATAAAAACCCTATGAATCACAATGGTCTGATCCCCTTGTGCATGGCATCACCACAAGTTGGGGGTGCTTGATGACTGCTAACCACGTCAAAGAAGCGGAGACACAGATTAGCATGGTCAGTGTTGGAAAAGGAATGCCACGTAAAGGTATATCCTGGATTACAAAGATTTAGAAGGGCACAGAAACACTGAAACATTTAAGTCCTCCTCACTGAAGAATAGTCCTGCCCTTAGACCAGAGCAGATGAGGCTCCATACTTTGAAGTACTTACTGTAGTACTTTCTAAATCCCCCTCCACTGCTTAAGGAGTTCTGGTGGTGTAGCAGCTACAAATCAGGTTGCTAACTCCAGGGCAGGGTCAGCAGTTTGAAACTACCATCCACTCTGTGGGAGAAAAAGGAGGCGTTCTGCTCCCGTATAGATTTACAGCCTCCAAATTCCTATGCAGGGTTGCTATGAGTCGAAACTTATTCCACCACATACCATCACCACCTTCACTCCGTGGTACCAGGTGTCTGATTCCAGCCCTGCTGGTCTAAGGAGTCATCTAATGCTAAAGTTGAAAGGAATCTTAGATGCAAAGGAAATCCAACCCACTTATTATACCGATGGGGAAATTGAATCTTAGAGGTAGCAGTCACATGTCTTAACCAAGTCCCCTGCTGGTAGGAAGTGGCAGAAAAAGGATTAAAACCCAGGGTCCTTGTGGATGAACCCTGTGCTCTTTTTACTTTTCTCTGCTATAAGTATTCTTCCTTTTGTCAGCATTAGTATATTTTGTCTATTTTATCTTTCAACTAGAAGCAGCTTCATGGTAGAGGCCAAGCTCCCCAAACTGACAGGAAGAGCATGTAATGACCAACATTGCCCCAACACGAATTAACAAGGAACTGAGTTCCTTCATTACAAAAGAAAAGGCAATTTAAAGAAACCACCTGTGAGATTTCATTTTAACAGTCAATAATAATAATAATAGTAATTAGGTCTAAGAGATGAAAGCAGTAAAATCATACACATTTTCTTGGAAGCTCTTAGTTTTTTTTAAGGTTGCTACATTCTTGAGAATGTGGCTTCTACAAGCCAGAGTCAGCCAGGGAACCTGGGATCCATGGCTATTTTATTAATAAGAGGCTCATGAATGGGGAAATGTCCTGAACTGGTAGTCACTTTGATTTCCCAGCTGTAGCAGCAGCAGAAGGACTTCAAGGAAGTGGAAAAATGAAAGCAAAGGAAATCTAGCCAAAGAAAGTCAGTATCACAATGCTTACCATAGTTGCTTGGAATCAGCCCAGTTCGGCCTTTGCAGGTTCCTTTCCACCAATTGGTATCACTCTAGTAGAAAAAAATTTTCAAAAGAGTCAAATTAAGTGGTATGAAATCCAGTGTACATTCAAATCACCTTTAAAACTATTTGGCTCAGAATGTACCTGGTCTGCAAAATGTGCACTGAGCCCTGGCCACATGATATCAATTCTTCACACTTCAATAAGGTTGGTCATTCCCCTTAGCACTAAATTACAAATGTACACACACCAACCTGCAACAAGTCAAATCCACTTCACCACAAAGCCGCAAAAAGTGGGGGGAAAAAAACAACACAAAAAAACAGATAATATGAAGACAGAACAAAACTGCATTTAGTTTAGACTAACTTAAGTTGTTATTTTTCAGTCTAATTTTTCTCTTAGCTCCTAGATATTTTTTAGGCGATGAGGAAAGCTTCTTTATTTCACCTTTATTTTCTTTGAAGGAAGAACAGAAATTTTTTTTTTTTTAATTTTGTGATAAAATATATGTATTTTTTAAATTTGCCATTTGAACCAATTTTGCATGCACAATTCAGTGATGTTAATTACATTCCCTGTATTGTTGAACCTTTACCACTATCCATTTCAAAATGCTTTTAATCACCCTAAACAGAAACTCAGTACCCTTTAAGCAGTAATTCTCCATTTCGCTCTCCTTCCAGTTCTCCTGGTAATCACTAATACACTTTTATCTCTCTATATTTGCCTATTATTGCTATTTCATGTAAGATCTTACAATATATATATTTTTTAATCTGACATTTTTCTTCAGCATGGTATGTATTTTCAGGATGCATATATGTCATAGCATGTATCAGAACTTCATTTCATTTTATGACTAACTTCCCATTGTATGGATATATCATACTTTATTTATCCATTCATCTGCTGATGAACACTTGAGTTGTTTCTTCCTTTTGGTCATTATGAGTAGTGAAATAATGAATATCAGTGTACTCTGGGAACAGGGATAACTTTTTATTATAAAAAAATTAAACCTACACAAAAATAAAAAGACTAGTATAATGAACTTGCATATACCCACTTTCCAAACTATACAAATCATTTATACATTCCCAATTTAGTTTTATGTATACTCCTATCACAGTTTACCTCCCCTCCAGGATTATTTTGAAATAAAACAAATTCTAGACTTTGCTTGATTTCATTTGTAAATATAGTTACACTCCTCATAAAGTCCATTCAGGCAAAATCTGAGTGCATAAGGAGCTCTGGTAGAGTAGTGGTTACGAATCGGGCCATGAACCTTAAGGTCAGCAGTTTGAAACTACGAGCTGTTCCGCGGGAGAAAGATGAGGCTTTCTGCTCCTGTGAAGATTTACAGCCTCAGAAACCCTGTACAGGGTCGCTATGGGTCAGAACCGACTCCATGGCACATAACTACCAACCACGATACATCTATGGTCTCAACCTCAGTAAAAGCTATTATTATATTAAAAATTTGAGGTACATAAAATGGTTTGTAATAACAAATGGGCACTAGTTTATGATGCACATTAAAACATTATTGTTATTACTGTATTCTTATGTCAAAGATGTTTTATTGTATCTGAAAGTGTTTCTGTAATACTTTTTATGCATAGAAAGGCATACCACGACAAATACTTAACTGACTAATGTTAGATATGAATTATACTTTACTGCTCCAGCTATATAAAATTTGATTTAAAGACAGACTTAGGAATAGAATTTATTTGCAATCCAGGGACTGCCTGTATGTAATCTGGAGTTCAGTGAAAACACTGACTTCCAAGAGGACCTACTGGGCCAGTTAAATTCAAGGCAGAGAGGTCAGCTTAGGTGGCTACAGTGGCTGCTTTTTGAGATTCCGAAGGAATTGATAGATGACCGTGGGGCCTTGTTAAGAAGAATTTTTAAGAAAATTGTCATATGCCTAGATGAGACAAAGGCCAGGAAAGTTGCCCCAAGGAATAGTTTTCCAACACAACACACTTGCTATTCTTCAAGAGTAGCAAGGGCTGTCCTATGAGAATTTCATCGGAAAACCTTACCCCATCCACCCTCCATCTATGATCTTGCCCTTTCAAACTTTTTTTTGTTCCCCAAACTCAAAGAACATTTAAAAGCAACATGATTTGAGTCCCTCAAGGATGCCAAAACTGTTGTGTTGAAGTGGTGTACATCGAAGCAACAAATCCTTCAAGGAGAGTTGGTAGTGGTGGTGGTTGTGTGCCGTGGAGTTCGTTCCGACTCATAGTAACCCTATACAGGGTTTCCGAGACTGTAAATCTTTATGGGAGCAGAAAGCCTCATCTTTCTCCCACGGAACAGCTGGTAGTTTCAAACTGCTGACCTTGCGGTTCACAGCCCAATTCGTAACCACGCTACCAGAGGTCCTTTAGAAAGATGAAAATTCTTCCTTGAGAAATGTACAGATCTAGATGGAGCATATGTCAAGAAACAACAGCCTCACATTTTGATAATTTTTGTTTAACAAAGGTTTGTATGGTTTTATAGCAATACTTTTAAATGTACCCTTCCTTGTATGTATGTGTATAATCTATCCTCGCACCCTTTCTTAAGCAAATAAGAGCTTCATATACAATTTCATTACACCTCGCTCTTTTCACTTTAGCAAAATATACTGAAGTTAATTATGTGGTGGAGTCCTGGTGTGGCGCTGCAGGAAAAGCAGTGGTGTGCTAACCACAAGACTGGTGGTTCAAATCCACCTACCCCTCCTCAGAAACCCTATATAGGATAGTTATGAGTCTGAACTGATTTGATATCACATGTCAACAATAACAATAAGAATATAGATATTCTTCCTTTTTTTGTTGTTGTTGTTGATATATTAAATTTTATTTATTTTCCTACTGATAGACCTATGGGCTACTTCCAGTCTTATGTTATTACAAATTGTGCAGAAACCAAGACTTGTGTCTATGAGTTTCTATATAATTGCCAGTATAGACCCACATTTAAATAATATACAGTGTATGACTACATAAAACAGTCTTATTTTGGATAAATTTTGTTCGTATGTGGTACTACAAAATGTTATACGGGCTTACCATGTCAGTAATATAGATAATATCCCCTTCTTCAAAGTACAATTCATCTGGCTAAAAGAGAAAATAAAGTTTTACTCCATGTGATTTTTAATAAACCAGAATATAATAATCATATATATTTCAAATCATACAATATTCTTACAGAAATGCATTTTATGTATTTAAATCAGCACACAAAATAAAATGTATGTGTAAGAAAAATAAAACATGTGTAATTGCATCAACTCTGACTCACGGCAAACCCGTGTGTGTCACAGTAGAACTATGGCTGTTTTAGATGCAGCTTGCCAGGCCTTTCTTCAGATGCATCTATGAAAAGTTTTGTTAGCAGACGTGTGAATTAACTATTTGTACCACCCAAGGATAAAACATTCACAGAATGTAGAATTTGTCTTTTGATGATCTTCAAAGAATTACACAAACAGCAAGTACGGACTACCAGACTGCTATGCATACACACGTATCTTATGCTCTTTCACCCTGAAAGAAAAACATTTTTATATCAAAATAAAATAACAATATAGCTTATTCCTCTTAGAAATTCCAAAAGGTAGTGTATATCTATTTTCCCAAAATAGTACTCTATTTTCTATATTTAAAATAATTATATTCTAGAATTAAAACCATGGGAAACAGGCAGAAACTTGGCTCTCTCCTAAGTGACTAGACTTCAATCCTTTAGTTTTTTTAGTATCAACATCTGCTATCTGCCTAGTTTGAAAAAGCCATTATCCTACCTCTTCTTGTCAGAGAGAAGAAAGATTTCATATAGGGGAGTAATTAATCCACAAGTGAACCACTAGAAAGGCTAAAGAGCATAAAGATTAAAAAATAAAAATTCCAAACAGTCTGAAAACCTTCAACAGTTCTGGGTTAGTGAATTACAGTAAGTTACCAGTTCAATCTTGGACCAACCAAGAGTCTTACAAACAAGTTAGGCAATTTAATTAAACATCTTCCTTTTCCCATCAGTAGATAAACACCAGCATGACTTTATGAGGATACAGTATAATGTTTACTGATAACAAACCTCAGATACCAGGAAATGTTTATGTTGTCATGTCGAATGAAAAATATAGGGCACAAAATATGCATGAAATATGCATGGAAACTTTCCCAATTACTCTATCATTGATATATATTATTATCATATATGATTTGACTACAGAAGATTTTTTTTTTTAAAGCCTTTCATGTTTTTGCATTACAATCACTGTTACATACCAATAAAAAATTATGCTATTCAAATAAATTCTTTCATCTACTCATTTCAAGAGCTAGATGAACCATTTCAGGAGGCAGTATAGAATCAAGAACTGATGGTATTGAAAGAAGATGTTCAAGCCACACTGAAGACAAAGGTGACTAACAAGGCTCCAGGAATTGATAGAATACAAACTGAAATGGTTACAGCAGTACATCGACAGGGAACTGCCAGAAGTTCAAGCCGGATTCAGAAGAGGACACAAGACGAGGGTTATCACTGCTAATGTCAGATGGATCTTGGCTCAAAGCAGAGAATACTAGAATGATGTTTACTTGTACTTTACTCAGTGTACAAAGGCATTCAACTGTGTGGATCATAACAAACTATGGATAATACTGAGAAGACTGGGTATTCCAGAACACTTAATTGTACTTATGAAGAACCCATATATAGACCAAGAGGCAGTCATTAGAACAGAGTAAGGGGATGTTGAATGTTTAAAATCAGGAAAAGCATGTGTCAGGGCTGTATCTTTTTTACCATATTTATTTAACCTGTATACTGAGCAAACAATCTGAGAAGCTGAACTATATGAAGAAGAACGTGGCATCAGGATTGGTGGAAGACTCATTAACAACCTGCAATATGCAGATGCTATTACCTTGTTTGCTGAAAGCAAAGAAGACTTGAAGATCAAAGATTAAATAAAGCATTCAGTATAGATTGCACCTCAATAAAAAAGGAAATGAAAATCCACACAACTTGATAATAAATAACATCATGATAAACAGAGAAAAGATAGAAGTTGTCAAAGACTTCATATTGCTTGGATCCACAAACAACACTCACGAAAGCAGCAGTCAAGAAATTCAGTGATTTGCATTAGGCAAATTTGCTGCACAAGACCTCTTTAAAGTGTTAAAGAGTAAAGATGTCACTCTGAGGACTAAGGTGGGCTTAGTCTAGGTCATGGTATTTTCAATAACCTTATATGCATGTGAAAATTGGACAATAAATAAGAAATGTCAGAAAAGAACCAGGCTTTTGAATTGTGGACCTGGAGAAGAATACTGAAACTACAATGGACTGTCAGAAGAACAAACAAATCTATCTTGGGAGAAGAACAGCCAGAATGCTCCATAGAAGTAAGAATGGTGAGGTTTTGGTCTCTCATTCTTTGGACATGTTGTCAAGACGGATCAGTCCCTAGAGAAGGATATCATGCTTTGTAGAGTAAAGGGTCAGTGCAAAAGAGGAAGACCACCAAAGAAACAGATTGATACAGGGATTGCAACAATGGACTTAAACGTACCAAATGTGAGGAAGATGGAGGACTGTTCAGTTTTGATCTGTTATACACAGGATTGCTATGAGTCCAAACAACACGATGGCACATAACAACAACTCATTTTTTAATTTGTTTACTTACTCTCAGTGGTGAATTAGGCAATAAAAATGACTCTTCACGGGTAATTTATAAAGCTTCAAAGCTGATCTACATTACTATAACTATTTCCTGAATATAAATGAAGACTACCAGCTATATCACATTTTAAGCAAAAACAATACATGAATATTCAGATACATTACGCATTTAACTATAAAAATTATCAAATGATTATTAATAACACTGAAATAAAAATGGTTTTGTTTCTTTGAAAAGGCAGAAATGTTTCTAAAGCATTTGTACCTTTTACTGTTTGCATTAGAAGCTAGAGCTACAAGGCCCTGGCTAGGTGCAAATGGTTTACATGTCCAGTTGCTAACTAAAAAGCTAGAGGTTCAAGTCCACCCAGAGGTGCTTTAGAGGAAAAGCCTGGCAAACTTCTTCCAAAATATCAGCAACTGAAAACTTTATGGAGCAGAAAAGTGACAAGAAGCTAGACAGGGCAGCAAGGCTACACACACAGACCCTCGACAACAAAGATACAGAAACCAAATGAAACGGAAGCAATCCTGGAACCCTGAGCTTCAGATGAAGGCATAGAGAAGCAGAATAAATGCTTATTAGGAGAGAGAATTGAACAGATGTGGCCAAAAAGTGTCAGACTGGTGATCAGTGCTGGCCGACTAGATGCAGCATGCACTTTCAAGCTTTTGTAAGCAACTTCAGTAACAAGACAGCATGCTGGCATTGTGGAAACATATGGGTGACTCATGGAGATAAAAGTGTGATTTTATCCTGTTCCCCATACTCCCCTGGTGACCAGAGGTGAGGCCAGCCCCACCCACATACACCTACAGGGAAGCTCCCACTCTCCCTGGGTTTAGAGCTGCAGAGAGGTGAGAGCCACAGTTATGCACACCATTAAAGGAGTTAATCCTGTTCCAGCGGGCCCTGCTACAAATCTGCAGAGTCAGCCCTGACTAGCCGTGGACTAGTACTCACTAGGAGAAGCAGCTGAACAGACGCATGGGGGTGGATGAAAGAGAGAGGAAACAGGTTATCTGTGCCAGCCAACCAGATACAACAAGGCCAACTTGAACGTTCACAAGCAGTTTTGAAGGCAAGAGGGCAATATACAAGAAGATGGATGTTGGCAAAAGAATGATAAATACAGGGAGTTATGCAAGGGTTAAAGGGGATGGAGGTAAATCGTGTTATATCCACAACCTTGAAACAACAGTGTTCTGTGAGTAGATACAGACAGATACATAGCCTGAAGGGGCATGGGAGGGAGAGTGAGAGTACACCCATAAGGTCTGAAAGAGGATATCTTATGTGGTATTAACTTTTGCTGCAAACACACCTATGAATGTGGTGAAGCATACAGAGGGCAAAATGATGAAAACTTCTTAAATATGATCAAACATCTTAAGGCATTGAGTACCTGGCCCTGGGGTTCAGGATCACAGTCTCAGGGGACACCATGGCCAACTGGCATAACATAGTCCATAAAAACAATGTTCTACATCTTACTTTGGGAAATAGCAACTAGGATCTTAAAAGCTCATGGGTGGCCATCTAACTGCAACTACTGGTCTCTCCATGTGCAGAAGAAAGAAGAGTGATGAAAACTGAAGATGCTTGGAATCAACTAGGTCAGTGGACATGTCAATGGAGCATGTGAACATCAGACACCACGACTCTGAGACCAGGAGAATTAGATGGTATCCAACTGTCACTACCAACAGCTCTGAAAGGGATCACATTAGAAGGTCTGGATAGATGTCAAAAAGAGGGCTCACTCTCTATCATCATAGCACTCCAGCTAGATAGAATGACCAGCCACTTTAATAGGAAGGTTAACAATTTTAACATCAATTGGCTATCTCTCCTTGAGAAGCACTAAGAGAGGCACAATGGTTACACATTCACCTGCTAACTGAAAGGTTGGTGGTTCCAACCTACCAGCCACTCTGCCAGATAAAAGCCCTGGTGATCTATTTCTACAAAGACTATAGCTTAGGAGACCCTATGGAGTAGCTCTAGTCTGTCCTATAGGGTTGTTATGAGTTGGAAACAACTGGACTCCACACAGCACGAGATAGGAGAGGGGCAGTGATGGTTCAATAGTAGAGTTCTTGCCTTCCATGCAGGAGACCTGGGTTCAATTCCTGGCCAATACACCACATGCACAGACACCACCGATGTGGTGGAAGCTAGAGTTTTGCTATGATTCTGAACAGGTTTCATTGGAGCGTCTAGACTAAGTTGAGACATTGGAAATCTACTGTCAAAACCCAGTCAATGAAAACCCTATTGATCACTATGATCCAATCCAATTGAGAATGGAGTTCCACGAGCAGAGACTGACTCAGTAGCACCTAACAACAAGGAATGGGAGGAAAGAATTAAAAAAGTGAACTAGTATAAGGAAAACAGAATGTATGGGAGCAATAG